TTCTCATTTATCCTTCCTGTGAAATAGAGCCTGAAATCCACTAGACGAAACCCAAACAGTTTTCATGCTACATTATAATCTCATTATAAATCAGCATGATTTTCTCCCTTGAAGCCTCAATAACTGGAGGCTGAATTAATTAGTCTAATTGAGGAAATGATAAGGAAATGAATTATTTAGCACACATTTCCTCAAGCTAACGCTGCTGTGTTTCTAATTGTAGAGCTTTATTTTTCATCAGGCTTTGTGATGGCACGCTCGGTAAAGCTCTGGGTTTAGCGCAGTTTGAAAATGTTAACGTTCCTCATATTAACCAAGCCGAACATGTTCTCTCTGTGTGAATCCTCACTTAGCAAATCTGTCAAATTACTTTCAGTGTTGAAGACAATCCATCATATCCCAGTGGAGATTAATGGCAACGAGTGTTTATAGTTTTATTTGTTCCTCCTCTCTCTCTGGAGACAAAGTGTCACGCTTGATCTGGAAAACAATTAGTGTGAAAATAAAAGCTGTCTGAGTATGATGTGAATATTGCAGAGCTACTGAAATGGGAGCAGAAGGAAAAAGTAAAAGAGGCAGAAGAATGAATGAAAGGGGTTAAAGGAACAGATACATGTATAGAAAGAGCTGCAGAACGTGTCTCAGGGGCAGATAAATAAGTAAAAGAGGCAGAAGAACAAGTAGACTTGACAGCAGCAGCAGTAGAAGAAGAACAATTGCGAAGGACAGAAAAGAAGAAAAGGACGAAAGAAGTAGGAGAAGAGGTGAAAAAGCATGGCAGAAAAACCTCTAGAAGACCAAAGAATGAGTAAAAGGGAGAGAAGAACCTATGGGAGAGACAGAAGGACGAATAGAAGAGGCAGAAGAATCAATAGAAAGAGAAGAAAAAATAGAAAAATAAGTGGATGAGGTGGAAGAATGAGTGGATGAATGGGTCAGAAGACCAAGTGGATGATCAGAGGAGGTAGGAGAACACATGGAAGGCACAGAAAGACAAGCAGAAGGGGCAGAATTTTTTTTAATGGGGTGGAAAGAAAAGAAGATGTAGAAGAGGCAGAATAATAATGCAAGAAACAAAGAATGATTAAGAGGAGCAGAAGAATGAGTGGAGTCGTTAGATAAACCTGTGGAACGTACGTGAGTGAAAGAGGCAAAAGAAAAGGCAGAAGGGGCAGAAGAACAAGTAGAAGTGGCAGAAGTATAAATGGGGTAGAAGAAAGGTTGGATGAGGAAGAATAACAATTAAAAGAACCAAACAACAATTAACCAGGACAGAAGAACTTGTGGAAGGATCAGATGAATGAGTGGAAGCAGTAGAAGATCCTGTCAAAGGGAAGAGGTCATGAGTGGAAGAGGCAAATGTAAAAGGGGCAGAAGAACCAGAGGAACCATGTGGAAAAGGGAGAACAAGTTAAAAGGTGTACAAGAATGAGTGGAAACCAGAGAAGAGGAAAAGTCAGAAGAACGAATGGAGAAAGTTAAAGGAATAGATAGATGCAGAGGCTGAAGAACAAGTGGCAGGGGCAAATACATATGCAAAAGGATCAGAAGAACAAGTGCAATTGACATCATCAGCAGAAGAACAATTGCAAAGGACAGAAAAGGCAGAAGATTGAGGGGAAGAGATGGAAAGCATGGCAGAAAGAGTGTAAGGTGCAATAAAAACCTGTAGAAGAGCATAAGAATGAGCGAAAATACCAAAGAAGGAGTAGAAAAGGCAGAGAAATGAGAGCAAAGAGATGAAGAATGAGTGGAAAAGGTGGAACATAAGTGAATGGTGGAAAGCATGGAATAATGAGTGGAAGGAGAAAAGAACCTGTACAAGAGATTGAATAAGGAGTGGAAGTGGTAGAAGAATGAAAAAAAGCACCAGAGAAGAAGAAGGGGCAGTAGAATGGGGCAGTAGAATGAGAGGAGTTGGTAGATAATCTTGTGCAAGAGACAGAAGGAAGAGTGTGGTGGTGGTAGATGAATGAGCAGAGTGGATAGACAAACGAGTGGAAGAAGCTGAAGAATAATTTTAAGGGGTAGAAGAAAAAGTTAAAAGGCCAAAAAACAAGTAGAAGGGGCAGAAGAACTAGAGGAAACAAATGTGGATGAGGAAAAAGAATAAGTGTAAAGGGTAGATTGAGTTAAAAGACCAAAGAATGAGTAGAAAAATCAGAGGAACCAAAGGAACCAGATGTGGATCAGGCAAAATGAGTAAAAGACCAATGAATGAGTAGAAGTGAAAGAGTAGAAAATGAGAAGAAGCGGTAACCTCTGGAAGAGACAAAAGAAGTGCAAGGGGCAGCAGCATGAGTGGAAGGGGCAAAAGCAATAGTAAAAGGGGCAGAAGAACCAGAGGAACCAAAAGTGGAAGAGGAAAAAGAATAAGTGAAAGAAAAAGGCAGCTGTGCCAAATCTCATCCTCTTTCTGAGTCAGTGTGTGACGTAAAAATCATAAATCTGTTTCAGTTTTTCATTATGGTGAAGATAAAAGCACTTTTCACTCTGTTCT